TACCGGACATCTCACAAATCCCACCCTGCGGCAGGAAGTGATCATGAAACTTCCCAACAGCCTGAAGCGGCAATGGGGGGAGTTCGTCCATACCCAACAGACCGGAGTGACCCTGGCAACACTCTCCGAATGGCTATCACAACGAGCGGACGCTATCAGCCACGTCAGAAGACTCACCGCCACTGACAGAGCTGAAAAGCCGCCAATCGGCAAGCGACCAGGCGGCCTCCGTGGGAACACCTTCACCGCACGAGAAGAACAATGTGGTTTCTGCAAGAAAGCCGGGCACTCCGCTGCCAACTGCAACACCTTGAAGAAGGCCCTAGTCAAGGACAGGTGGAAGTGGATCAAGAATGAGAACCGCTGCTTCGTCTGTTTTGGCTGTGGACACCAAGTCAGGGACTGCCCGAAGAAAGCACGGTGCGGACGTGACGGGTGCGAAAGGCTACACCACCGACTCCTCCATCTGCCGCAACCGAGCACGCAGGAGAGGACGGGGAACCAGCCAGCGCCGTGCAACGCAACTCGACGACCTAACAGTGGGAGGGTGATGCTGCGCACAGTACCCATCAACGTCACAGGCACGAAGGGGACGGTCCACACGTTCGCTCTGCTCGACGAAGCATCTACAGTCACGTTGCTTGACGCTAGCCTAGCCAAGGAGATCGGCGCCAAGGGGACGCACTGCCCGCTGACACTGACCTGGACGGACGACACCAGCCAGACTGACAACAACTCCAGGAAGGTGGAGGTTTCGGTGTTCGGAAGCGGGCAGGAGTTCTACCTGAACGATGTACGAACCGTTACACTGGATCTACCCAAGCAAGACCTCGACGTCAACAGCACCTGCCAGCACTGGAAACACCTCCGAGACGCTGATCTGACAGTGGAGGATATGCAAAAGCCCAGAATGCTCATCGGGCAGGACAATTGTGACCTGATCATGCCCCGAGAGTGGGTCGAGGGACCGCCCGGATCGCCGGTAGCCACGCGGTGCAAGCTAGGCTGGGCAATCCACGGCAGAGTCGATGACCTCAGCACCGAAAACGCCCACAGCAGCCTGTCAGGGCAAATCAAAGATGGCTGCTTCGATGACGACCTACATCTGCTCGTCAAGTCTTTCTTCACCACAGACTCGTTTGGTGTCAAGGTCACCAGCACTAAGATCCGGTCCCGACAGGAAGCGCGAGCTGAGAGGATCATGGAATCGACCACCAGACGAGTCGGAGACCGCTGGGAAACCGGACTCCTGTGGAGAGAAAGTGGCATACTCCTACCAGAGAGCAAGCCCATGGCCCTCCGGCGGCTGTTCTCCATCGAGCGAAAGATGGACAGGGATCAAGTCTTCGCTGACGCGTACTGCAGTAAGATCGAACAGTACCTGGCTGCCGGTTATGCCTTCAAGCTGACACCAGAAGAGGAGACAGCATTCCACGAGCGCAAGTGGTACCAGCCGCACTTTGGTGTCACGAACCCGAACAAACCAGGGAAGCTGCGACTAGTCTTCGACGCGGCAGCCTCAAGCAACGGCATGAGCCTAAACGACGCCCTGGTTCCGGGTCCGGATCTGCTGAATTCTCTCACCGGCGTTCTATTCAAGTTCAGGGAGCACCGTATTGCCTTCGGCGGCGATATACAGCAGATGTTCCACCAGGTTCAGATTCGGGAAAAAGATCAACCATCCCAACGCTTCCTTTGGCGAGGCATGAAACGTGACAGAGAGCCGGACGCGTACCAAATGAAGGCGATGACGTTCGGAGCGGTATGCTCGCCTGCCTCGGCCCAGTTCGTGATGCGGAGGAATGCTGAGGAGTTCAGGGACAACCACGAAGAAGCTGTCTACGCAATCAACCGCAAGCACTACATGGACGACTACTTCGATTCAACGCCAACAGTGGAGACAGCTGTCGCCAGAGCGCTTCAAGTCGTCAAGATCCACAAAGCCGGCGGGTTCACCATTCGTAGCTGGGTAAGCAACTCGTCAGAGGTCCTAGCAAGCGTGCCACCCGAGCTCAGGTCCGACAGCGCTCTCACGATCGACAGCGGTGAAACGGCCACCCCGACCGAGAAGACCCTTGGCCTCAAATGGATGCCGCGGGAGGACATCTTCAGCTTCAAGCTAAGTGCACGACTGGTGACACAAGAAGCAGAAGTGACGCAGCCGACAAAGCGACATGTGCTACGCATGTGCATGTCAGTATTTGATCCGCTTGGCTACCTGGCATTTCACACGGTATCGGCAAAGGTACTTCTCCAGCGGATATGGCGCACCGGAGTCAGCTGGGACCAGCCGCTACCGGATGACCTCGTGACACGCTGGAAAGAGTGGTGGCAAATGCTACTCAAGCTGAGCGAGCTGTCTGTGCCACGCCCCTACAGTGAAGATATGACCAAGAGAGCCCAAGTTCAACTACACGTCTTTGGAGACGCCAGCGAGTCGGCCTTTGCGGCTGCAGCCTACCTCAGAGTCACCTTCGCCGACGGGAGTGCCCAGGTCGCTTTCGTGCTGGGAAAAGGAGGAGGTGGCTGCGTGAATACCTGCCGACGTTGACGAGAAGGACGAAGTGGCATCAGCGACAGCAGAAAGAAGTCAAGGTCAATGACATAGTCGTGATTGCCGACAGAGACCTACCCAGAGGCAGCTGGCCGAAAGGTACCATTACGGCCGTCTATCCCGGCACCGATGGACATGTCAGAGTGGCCGACGTCAAGACAGCGTCCGGGACATACCGCAGGCCGGTGTCAAAGATCTGTGTGCTGGACGTTCTGAATAAGGGTGACGCTTGAAGACGTCACCGGGGGGAGGATGTTGGTACGACCAAGTCACCCCACAGATCTCCACTAGTAACTTGCTCAGTTTAGACCAAGACATGAATAACCTTGGGTAGTAGTAAACCTAGGTGCTGTTGTGCACATGTCTGTACTGTTCCCCGGCCCTCAGAGCTCAGTTACCTCAGCCTGCTCATGACTACTGTGTGTTGTGTCTTGTTGATGTCCCTATTCATAACTGCTGCATGCATTCATTGCTAGTTCCATGCATAGTTCTTTGTCCTACTGTGGCGGGAAGGTCGTCTCGTGCAGCCGCAATGATCAGCTGCGCTATGGAGGTTCAGTTCCGGCAAACATGCGTGTGGATTTGCATTTTGCTGCTTGATTTTGATGTATTTGGGGGAGTGCAAGGAAAGAGCTTGCTGGTGCAGTTGTTAGGTTCTTGGTCTTTGGCTGTTTCTGTTACTACCAGGTAGTAGCTAGCCTTTTGAAGTATTGCAATCAGTTTGCAATGGATACAGTCTTCTCCTAGTGATAATATTCTATAAACCTCAGACTCTGTGTTGTGAGTGAGAATACCGGCGCAAACACCAACAAATCGAGAAAATCACCAAAACGTCACAGTAGGCAAAATTCTACTCGAGCGCGCTCGCGAAAATATTCACTTTCATTCAAGTACAGTAACTAGTTTGCAAGAGGATGAGTCATCGTGACCACGGCTAGAGTGGCTAGTATAGCTATGGGGAGACGTCTACAAGCCGTCCGACTATCATTCTGACAAGCTGCCTAGTGAGTTGGCTCTTGCTGCGATGTTTCACTTTGTTTCGGCACCTTCAAATGTTAATGACGTGGCGTACTGTATTCCAAAATTTCCTCATTTCAAGGCCAATGGTGCCACGCGACGAAGCAACGCATTGACTCTACCTTGTAGCATATCGTCCCGTGGTGCATTCTACCACTACCTGCACCGGGGAAGGAGAATGACATGGACTAGGACGGACAAAGAATCAGTGCCCCTTTTTAGCGATGTGCAGTCTGCTGGACCTACGTGCAAGGGACCAACGGAGCTCGATCTCTGGCACAACACTACGAGCTACATGAAAGGATTAATTCATGCTGGCATAGGTGATTGGAGAGAGTATGACGGACTGTCTTGGTAAGATGCGACGTTTCCCAGCCCAGCGAAAATATAGTCACAGACTCACAACATCATTGAAGGATATGAAAATTCGTGTTGCGTGAAGAAATGAAATGAGATACATAGATCAATTATTCTTTCTTGGATCTTCTAATTAGAACACAAGTGCTCGTTCTTCTTGTATTGCTTCCGCACCTGCTAAGATTTATCTCCACTTGGTGTCCCATGATTTTTGGAGTTTGGGCAGGTCTTCAAATCCTTAGTGTCATTGATACCAGGTATGCTGTGACCTGTGCGCAACGTATACATGTAACTATTTATGGCACATATACATTTCAGATGGGCACCAAAATTTCCCTGATGGAAGTTGGATAGGTAGACATCACTTTGGCATGGAAAAAGAAATGTCCAAAAATTACGCCTAAGCCACCTTTTTGCTTGGCTCGGCTCGTATTGTTTTATGGTGTGTATTTTGCCCGTTAACGAGACTCAGTACATGCCCTACATGTCCTTCGCGTGCAATTTTGTAACTGATGCACACCTCAAATTTCCACATGCACTGCAGCACAGTCCTAGTGTCGACAGTGAAAGAAGCAGCGTGCAGCTTGCACCCTTCCTTTCTAATACTGTACACTGATGTCGATCGCGCAGTTTGTAAACCTTGCAAATTGTGTACCACATTGGCCTGATACGTTCGTTTTGCGTTCTTTTCAAAAGTTGGACGTACCGGAAACTCTTCTTCTGGAGTAAAAAAACAGACACAATTACTCGTTTCTTTTTCGCTGTCGTCGCTACTTTCCATTACGAAATGCCATGCATAGTCCTGAACCCTCAATCTAACTTACTTAGGAGCGTGTCCAACTACTTGTTTCTCACCACTTCAATAAACAACGATAATTATCAGGTTCATGCAGTTGCATGGTGTGCGCCTATTCTTTACACATGTGCAACCGTTGTGCGTAAATTTCACCCAGTGGTCACGTGGTCACGACCTTGAGTTGGCAACAGGTTGGCAGGTATGTGGTGGTTGTATCTCAGAAAATTCTATTCAACAACAACAATATTTCAGACTAGGACAAATAAAATACCCTACCGTGCACTGTCGTTTTGGCAGCGTAGCGTCTTGACAGCACCACTACGGGAAGTAATAGCCTTGAACCTGGCTCGACAAGCTCCAATCTCTTGGGACTGAATGATAACGAAACGCGGACTGCTGCACTTCTGCTTCAAGAGCATTTACATTCCGAGTGGAAAAAGAGGGCCGAAATACCTCCTCGTCCATGGCACACAGACGGGAGCCACCAGAATAGAAACTCAGAAACCAACAATGACCTTAGTCCTTCCCCTGAACTACCTGCACACAGCACTAAAGCCAGTGGTCGACCAGGCCCAACTGTAACTGGATAATATCGACAAACTAGGAATTCCTGCTCGTTCCCTGCCGAAGAAGTGCGAGTAAAAGCATTGGATGTACAGTAGAGGGAATTGAAAACACAGAAAAAGCCAGAGCAGCTAGCCGAGGTCCGAGTTATGCCTGCTCCACACTATGACTGTATACTATGCTGATTTTTCGGCCGATGCCTATCTGGCTCCGACATGAAATCGACTGACTGACGTCTGTGTTGGATGAGTCGGACTACATACAGCTGTTCACACGCAACGGTGAGCAGTTTCGCGTGTAGATCTACATGATTGTACTGGTTCTAGTTGTAGGCCTGCTGTCTGTTCACACAGCCGCGCTTGACCGACGGTCGGTTGCAGGCGCTAGACAGAGGAAATTGCCCATTTCACAAGCAATGATGCATTGTGATGTGAAGTGGGGATTGTATGAGGAGCGGAGAGCGGAGATATGTATAGATTATAGACCGGTTAGGAGGTCTATACAGGATATATAGACCGAGTAAAAGACCGAGGTCCCCCGAGGTCTTTTACGAGGTCTATATATCCTGTATAGACCAACTATGAGGTCTATAATCTATTTATCGTGTTCTCCACGCAATAGTTTCTCTTCATATACGACATATCCTTGTAATTCTAGTATTTATACTATAGCCTATACCGCATTGTACTGCATTTAAAGTCAAGATCATTGTTTAAACTAGGTTCAGCATCGGTAGCACAGTGGCTGGGTGGTAAGGAAGAGTGATTGAGATTCACAAGGTTGTGGGTTCAAATCCCATCTTGTGTATTTCTGCTTTCTTCAAAATTTCTTTTTCTAAGTTGGAGAGAAAATTTCTAAGTCCAAGAAGTTCTAAGGAGTCAAATATAAGTAGTCAAATATATCGTGTATTTGACTAAGCAGTCAAATACGCGATATATTTGACCGCTTAGGTATCAGGGAAATTAGTGGGGTCAAATACTAAGAAGGCAATAAAACAGTGTATACCAACCCGAAATCGGGTTTTCCTTTGCTCGAGATAGCATTTTCAAAACGCAGTTTTACTAAAATTTGACAAACAAATTTTCGTAAGGAAAACTGCTCCACACGTGATCCATCAGCTCAAACGCGGGAACTCTAGCTTCTTCTTCACCCTTTTTTCAGCGCATTATAGATCTTATTAGGGAGGGTACCCGGGTGGGACTGTTATATCTCCGCTCTCCGCTCCTCATACAATCCCCACTTCACATCACAATGCATCATTGCTTGTGAAATGGGCAATTGCATATCGGAGCTTCGAGCTTCGATATAACAGTGTATACTTCACAGCGCACGTCAACCGGCCTCCGTGGCAACAGTTATTTATGCACAAATGGCGACTACGAGCGTCAGTGATATAATTTTGACGCAGCAAACCAGCACACCCAGGCTGGAATATAACACAAGGCCTAACACCAACTAAATGTGTGGCCACATGAAAACCAAAATCTGGAAAATATTCATAACCTAGTATGGCGGGACGCTAACACTGGCCGTCCCGAAATTACTTGTAATGCGTACACTACGCAGGTAAACTAGCGGATTAGTCCAGAAGGTATGTTTTGCACACAGTCATACCATCATGACGTACACGAATAAGCACACTGTCAGCATTGTTTCAGGGCAGTGTAGATGCTGGCACAGCAGCAGCCAATACTCCAGTTGCGAACTCCTGCTGAATGCGGACTGACGCAGCAGGCCTGGGGTCTCTGAGATAGAAGCGCCGGAACGTAGACTCTTGTTTCCAGCCAACGGCGCGCATGACCTCATCAGCTGACAGGCCAGCGCCTGCAGCCGTCGACGATGCAGCGGCTCGGGTTGAATGTCCTTTGAACACCGACGTGTCAATTCCAGCGGTGGACAACACGGACACAAGCCAACGAGAAATTGTAGCAGCTGATACCGCACGGTGTGGCTTGCGGGCCGAGATGAAGAGCTGCTGAGTACCTGAGGGTCTCAAAGCCTTTGTGCGTTCCAGGTATGCTTCCAAGTGGACTACAGGGCAAACTGCTTCCACCTGATATCTGGCTACGAAGACTCTCTTCAAGCTGCCAGAGCGCTGTGTCTTAGTTAATGCCAACAATTGCAGTGAGACACCTTCCGGCGACAAACCAATGGAGTCGGCTGACAGATGCCGGAGCTCAGATGCCCTGAAAGCACCTGTTATAGCCAGTAGAAAGCACAACTTTAGGGTGTGCTGCTCCAGGGACAGATCCTTCACCGGAGGCCAAGATTGGAGAGTGCCTAGCGGGATTGCCGGGTCCCAGGTAGCCGAATAGCGAGGCGCAGGTGGACGTTGTTGATAAATGCCACGCATCAACCGGGAGACGAGCGGGTGTTGGCCGATCGCGTGGCCGTCCATCGGCTGCAGGGTACTGGACAGTGCAGAGCGGTACACTCCAATGGTCCGGTAGGACTTCCCTGCCGACACTTGGTCCGTAAGGTACTGCAGGACAGTTGCTATGCCGGAAGATGGCGAAACGGGATTAATCTCCCGTTGACGGCACCACTGACACCACAGTGACCAAGCTGAGTCGTAATGTTTCCTCGTTCCTCCACGCCAAGAAGAACTGAGGAGCGACGACACGTCTGCTGAAAGTTGTTGATGCTGCCATATACGCCCGACAGCGGCCAAGCGACTAGGCGCAGCTGTCTCGCTTCCACGAGAGGGTGAACGTCGCCCTGCTCGTTCATGAGTAGACGAGGGTGATGAGGCAGCATTATAGGTTGGTCGACACAGAGGCTCAGTAAGAGGGGAAACCATGGGGCTCCTCTCCACATCGGGGCAACTAACACACACTGAGCTACCTCCTCCCTCTGAATCTTCCTCAGGCACCTCGTCAGGAGACAAAGCGGAGGAAACAGGTACGCATTCAGGTCTGACCATGTGAAGCTGGGAGCGTCGGTCCTCCACGAGTGCGGGTCTGGCTTCCAGCTCACAAATCGGGGTAGCTGGGCAGCCGTGCGTGAGGCAAACAGATCCACTTCCAGAGGAAAAGCAAGTTGGTTGGCTAGTCTCTGAAAGACTTCCCGGTGGAGTATCCACTGTGCTGCTCCCGTTTGCCGTGACCAAAAGTCGGCTTCCACATTCAATTCGCCTGGCCGGTACTCGGCTCTGATGGTGATGTCTTTCTCCAGGCACCATTGCCACAGTTGTTGGGCTTCGCTGTTCAGCTCCGGGCTGGTGGTTGATCGCATTTTGTTGATGCACCATACAGCCGCCTGGTTGTCGATTTCGATGATCACATGAGCAGACCGAAGGTCCTTCGCGAGCGATTGTAGACCAAAAAAGGCTGCACGTAGTTCCAGGCAGTTGATATGAATGTGCTTCTCCGCCACCGTCCAAAGGCCTGATGCGTGGCGATGACCACAGACTGCTCCCCAGCCGACTGTGGATGCTGCATCCGTCTGCATGACCAGGTCTGGAACTGGCAGAGGAATAGAGCGGCCGTTGACCTCCTCCAGGTGCTGAAGCCACCAAGACAGATCCTCCAGTGCTGCTGCGCATAGCGGGACGGTCTCCTCCCATGGTACTTGCCGGCGTAGGGCTGATGCCCGCACTGATTCCAGGCCGCTCAAATGCAGGTTGGTGGGAAGAATCGCGGGTGCTGCAGAGGACAGCAGTCCCAGGATGCTGGCAAGTCGTCGAACCGTACTCTGTCGCTGGGCAATTAAGCTCCGGCAAGTTGTCAACGTCCGATGGACCTTGTCCGTGGGGAGTTCTAATGTCATGGCTATTGAACTGACCTGGAAGCCCAGAAACTCCACCACTTGTACCGGCTGCAGCTCTGACTTGCTGAAGTTCACCTGGAAGCCTAGGGCCAGCAACAGATGAATGAGATTGGCCACATGCTGCAACGCCTCCTGATATGATCCGGCCATGATCAGAATATCGTCCAGGTACACGACCAGACGTACACCCTGTTGGCGGAGGCAGGTGATCACCGGGTGAAGGAGCTTGGTGAACTGCCGTGGAGCAGATGCCAGGCCAAACGGGACAGCCGCAAATTGGTACTGCCGACTCTGCCACTGCACCGTCAGGAAGCGACGGAGGGTTGGATGCACTGGCATGGACAGGTATGCGTCGGTTAAGTCCACTTTCACCATAAAATCGTTCTTTATCAATAGCTCCCGCAGCGTGGCGATACCTTCCATTTTGAAATGGTGGTATTGCACAAACTGGTTCAATTCCCGCAGGTCGGCCACTGGGCGCATCTTGCCATTCTTTTTCGGTACGACAAACAGTGGACTGAGAAAGCCAGGTGTACCAGGGGGCACCTCTTCCAGGGCACCCTTCTCTTGCAGTGCCTGTACTTCCTTCGTCACCACTGCGGTCAACTCTGAGGACATCTGCCTGGGGAGTGGCTTCCGCCACTGGACTGGTTCCCGACTGAACTCCAGGCAAAACCCTTGCACATATTGCGTGACTTCTGGGTCTCCGGTCAGCTGACGCCAGCGTCTGGTCTGACCACCAATTCGGCCGCTCGGACGTCCGTGGACCTCCGAGTCGCTCACCCTCCAGTCCAAGCCTCACTCGGGTAGCTGGGTGCCTTGACATTGCAGGTCTGGTGGGAGCGCCTGCCAGCACACCTCTGGCAGGAAACGTTTCAGGCATTGTTTGGCTTCGGAGGGCCATGCTTGTTGCCGGGCTGTTGTTGCGACCGGGGCTGCCACTGCGGCTTCTTGGGGTAATGTGGACGGTGAGGGGCATGGCTTGCGGAGGTCCACCCGTCCCTGCGGGCTCCGCTCCCTCGAAAAAACGGCTCACGGGAAGCCTCTGAAGGCTTGCGGCGTTTGGCGTTGCCGTCCCCCTGATCTTGTCCGAAGCGCGACGACCGTCTGTCTTTCCCAGCCACATGACCATGACTTGGCGACAGCTTACGCAGTACGTCAGCCCAAGCCTTGTCTGTTTCCGCCTGCTTCGTTATCTGCTCGTTCAGGGCAGGGCCAAATAATGACTCTCCCGGGTTAGCAAACTCTGCAGTGGCCAGGCTGGAGAGCTTGGGGTGGATCTTGGATAAATAAATGGAGCGCCGTTTTATGGTGAGTGCCTGGTTAGCATCTCCCAGGAGACGCAGTGCTGCCGTAGCGGCCTCCCGGATCTGTTGACCTTGCTCACCGAGGCCAGAGTTTTGCGTGTGTTCAAGTATGTCACACAACGGACC